CGCAGGCCTACGGAGAGTTGAATTTGGAGTTCGTAATCGTGCCGCTTTTGCTGACGCGCGTGGCATGTCAAGAAGGGATCGTCGGCTGCGTTGCGACCGGAAGGGGGTACCCGCCTCTATTATGAGACGCGTATTGATGGCATCATCTTGCAAGAGCCTAGAAGCGAAGTGGGTTGCTTCTACTGTAGCAGGCCAGAAGGCAAGCGATTGAGCATCGATCTTACCCCCCGGCAAGTTTTGATGTTCATATCTGATGCGTTGATACGAACATCATGGCAGTGTATGGTCTTACCGAGGCTATGACCACGGATTCCCTTGTGAGCATTTTACACAACAGTTCGTATGCTATAACTCCAGACCCAGAGTCTACAATAAAAAAAGACGGGAAACGTACCCTCCGCGCCAAGACCAGCATCCTTTCAGGGAAGTGGGTACTGAAGCCATTTTGGTCGCCGCCTTGCTCTAGCGCCCCAGCGAGCCGACTGAGGCCGCCTCTATCATGGGGTGTCTAATCCAGCCGGCTAGCTCGTGACAGAGTTTTACAGGTGTGAAGTAGTGTGCGTGCACGCAGTGTATCGTGACCATTTACTGCCGATGTCCGGCAGAGCGTACAGTTGAGCATGTAACGTGCCGTTTGACTTGCAGGGTCCCTTGTTGATTATTGTTGAAGACGCATCAAACTCACATAATTTTGAATCGGTCATAAACGCACCACTCGCATTCAGACTCGCCCGTACTCGGCCTCAGTCATATTCTGACTCTTTCACAACCCGGCATCCGCACACTCATACATTCGTGAAGTAACACACCGGGGATATAGAACAGCATATGCTTGGATATCTTTTCTGCGAGTAGTTCTGAAAGTCTGCGCTGGCTTTCGGACAATGGTTGGGCGACTGTTTGGGCCAGGTGACGGATCAAGACGGTGGTCTGCTGCAGCAGCTGATTGTTCAGGTCATCAAGACACGCGTTTGTATCGTCATCGTATAGAACGGCTGCTGTCGTCGTGGCTAGCGCAAGTATGAAGTTGATCGTGTTTGGGCGCGTGGGTGGTGGTCGAGCGAGCAGCGCGGGGTAAGGCATAGATCCGTGGATCGTTTCGTTGTCTCGGCGCTGGTTCAGATCGCTGGACGGACCCTCTCCCTGCCTTTCTTATCCTCTCCGTCCTCACTCCCTCCCGCCATTCCCTGCCCTTCGCGAGCCCGCCCTGGAGTTCACTGGTGTGTGTTTCTCGCGAGCCTGCACTGAAGCCCCGTGTCGCGCACGGCGCTGCTGCGCCGCTAACGACATCAATGGTGCGAGACAAAACGTTTGCTTGTCGGTTTCGGAGCTGAATCGCCGGTTGCGTGGCGAGTCCAGAATTAAGGCCTACTGAGAATGAATCTCGAGTCTACTCAGGGTTTCCTTAAAAGCGTGATGAGGTACCCCCTCGACGGGGGTCAACCTCGCCTCGTCGTCGCGCCGCGACGGGGGTCGGAGCGCCTTCGGCACGCGGTGGCTGCCCGCGACGGGGGTCGATGTGGGGCTGTCGGCGGGGGTGACGCCCCCCCCCCCGACGCTCATTCAGAAGCTCGGAGTGGCCGACTTCGGAAGCCTGCAGCAACGGCAGAAGACCCCCTCTTCTGTCCATTGCTCCCCCCCCTCCCGCGAGGACGAGGGCGACGTGTGGGGCTCCAGCGGCGCCTACGAGTGCGAGTTCGACTGCGGGCTCCGCCGCCGGCCGGCCACTGCGCTTCGGTGCGGTTGCAGCGAGGGGTCCCGGTGCTGTCAGAGCCGGACGGCCCAGGTCGCTCGGGCGGATGTCTAGAATGAGGGTTTTGACAGGATGTCTCGAGCGAAACGCTTGTCCCCAGCACGTTCCGTAGCGCGTCCCCTTGGCACGTCCCGCGGTGCGTCCCCATGGCACGTCCCCTGGCATGTCGCCTGGCCCGTCCCTGCGAGCTCCTGTCCGCTGGCTTGGGACAAAGACGCGCGCATACGCGACATTACATGGGTTTCGGCAGCGCGCCACGCGAGCGCTCTTGGCACGAGGTGGCTTCGCGAACTGGGGGGGCGAGTTCGTGCACGTGGCTGGGCGCGTGCGACTCTCGGGGCTCCCCGGGAACCGAGTCTCGCCGCAGAGGGGGATGGACGAACAACTGACAATTTAGGAACAGCTGGCACCCGAAACCATCTCGCCCCATAGGGCTTGTGATCCCATGGCATTATGAGTGGTGTATTGTTTCCTATGCTGTCTTCGGGTCATCAGATGCCCATCGACAGATATTTGAACGCATTGTAGTTCGCCTAGAATGGCTGTGGGCGTTTGGTCCAGAATGTTAGCTCGTATTGGCATGTGTTGCCTGCCATTTGTAGAAACAAGTGTCCACTTTTGTTGTGCACTCGGCAGAGCAAACAGGACGGCCCCTTCGCTTGTGCTACTGTGACTGCGCTGTATTGTATGTGATGCTTGATGTAACTCTATGACGTTTGGGCGTTCAAGGTTCAGGGACCGCTCGTCAAGCTGCCTACGCATTGGTTGCGATCTTCGGCGCCCGCTTTGCTTGATCACTTGCCAGGCGCAGAATGGACGCACGGTCATTCGCGGTTTCTTCCGCGCTCGTTTGTGCGTGTTTAGGAGGCGGGAAACAAACAAGCAGCAATGATGTTTATGCTTTCGGGGTCCGCCTCGCTTGTTTGTAGGCGGGCCAACCAAAACACAGTGGCCATTTTTGTCGCCTTCGATGACAGTTCCTTCTTGTAAGTGGCATGCGGGGTTGGGCCCAGTGTTACGTGGCATGCCAGGGTCTTAGGCACCCTGTTGCGCCACAGGTGCCTTCCTCTGTGTTCTCTTCGTATTCCTCCTGCTCGTCGTCGCCGTCGTCATCCTTATCCGCACTCCTTGTCCGCATCCTCGTCTTCTCTGTCCTCCCCGCACTCTGAGGCGGATCCAGCCGTGGCGACGAGGAGGATTCCCGAAAGGCCCCCAACGCGTCCCCAAACTTGTTGTCTTTGGTCCTCGCTTCGTCCTCGTCCCCCCCGTCGTCGCCGCCGTCCCTCCCAGGTTCCGCGGCAGCTTCGGCGAGGTCGCGGCGCACGAGGGGCGGTGTTGGCGCAGGCGAGAGCTCACCGCTCTCGCGCGGCCAGAGGCCCGCCGCGCAACCGAACTCTGCGCCCTCTGACATGATGGGCCTGTTTTCCACCACCACCACCATAAGTTGGAGGGGGGAAGGGGGTGAAGGACGAGGAGGAGGAGGAGGAGGACGAAGAGGAGGAGGAGCAGGAGGATGACCCCCTCCCCCTCCTACTTATGGTGGTGGTGGTGGAAAACAGGCCCACCATGACAGCAAGCGCCCCTCCCCACTCCCTTCCCTCCCCTGGCGCTATGGGCTCCCATGAGCTCCCTCCTCTTCCCGCCTGGGCCCCGCCTCCTCCTCCTCCTCCTCCTCCTCCTCGTTCTCCTCCTCGTTCTTCTCCTCCTCCTCCTCCTCCTCCTCCTCCTCGTTCTCCTCCTCGTTCTCCTCCTCGTTCTTCTCCTCCTCCTCCTCCTCCTCCTCCTCCTCCTCCTCCTCCTTCCAGGAACGCTCTGAAAATTCTGGGCAACTTGCCGGGCACCTCTAAATACACCAGGGACATCTTTCTTCTCCTCCTCCTCCTCCTCCTCCGCCTCCCCCGCTTTTACTCCCTGTTCCTCACGCCCCCTGTTTTTTCCTCGTCCCTCGAGCCTTCGACCTGTGTGCTTCGGCACCTTGAAGGCACAGCCCCATCCCTCCCCCTTCCCCTCCTGCCTCCTCGCTCCTCCTCCCGTCTGCTCAGCTCACCTCTCACCTCTCCCTCGCGAGTGCGCGCGCCACCTGCCTGCGCTGGCCGGCCGGCGCTGCTGGCATGCGGTCACCCCCCTTGCAGGTCGCGCGGGCCGCCCGGGCCGAGCTGCCCGGCCGTGGCCTCGGCAGCTACCCGCGGGGGCCGGGGAGGTGGTGGTGGTGGTGGTGGTGGCGGTGGAGGGCGATGGGGGGGAGGGGGGGAGGAGGGAGAGAGGAGGTAGTAGTAGTAGTAGTAGTAGTAGTAGTAGTAGTAGTAGTAGTAGTAGTAGTAGTAGTAGTAGTAGTAGTAGTAGTAGTAGTAGTAGTAGTAGTAGTAGTAGTAGTAGTAGTAGTAGTAGTAGTAGTAGTAGTAGTAGTAGTAGTAGTAGTAGTAGTAGTAGTAGTAGTAGTAGTAGTAGTAGTAGTAGTAGTAGTAGTAGTAGTAGTAGTAGTAGTAGTAGTAGTAGTAGTAGTAGTAGTAGTAGTAGTAGTAGTAGTAGTAGTAGTAGTAGTAGTAGTAGTAGTAGTAGTAGTAGTAGTAGTAGTAGTAGTAGTAGTAGTAGTAGTAGTAGTAGTAGTAGTAGTAGTAGTAGTCGTAGTCGTAGTCGTAGTAGTCGTAGTCGTAGTAGTAGTAGTAGTAGTAGTAGTAGTAGTAGTAGTAGTAGTCGTAGTAGTAGTAGTAGTAGTAGTAGTAGTAGTAGTAGTAGTAGTAGTAGTTAGTAGTAGTAGTAGTAGTAGTAGTAGTAGTAGTAGTAGTAGTAGTAGTAGTAGTAGTAGTAAGTAGTAGTAGTAGTAGTAGTAGTAGTCGTAGTAGTAGTAGTCGTCGTCGTCGTAGTAGTAGTAGTAGTAGTAGTAGTAGTAGTAGTAGGTAGTAGTAGTAGGAGGAGGAGGAGGAGGAGGAGGAGGAGGAGGGGTGGTGGTGGTACGTAAGAGCAGAATGAAGGGGATTCCTCTTCCTCCTCGTTCTCCTCCTCCAGCTGGAAATAAGCAGAACATCAGACACTACGATCTGTGCAGGCGAGACGACACTATGCGACTATTTGGATAAAGGTGCTTCGGAGGCTGAGGAGGAGGAGGAATTGAGAAAAGAGGATAACACTTATGTGCGAGAGGATAGGGATGAAGAGGACAGAGGGCACGAGGAGGAGAATGAGGAGGAGTAGAAGGTGGAGCATATTCAGGAGCAGGCGCAGGAGATGAAGCAGGATCAGGATCAGGAGCAGAAGGAAGAGGAGGGGAAGCAGGAGGAGGAGGAGGTGCACTCTGTGCATCTGTACACCGCATCATGGTCTTGCAGTGTCGACGCTTGCTGCGCAGCGGAAGGAGTGCACGCGATGGCGTTCTCCACTCAGGTGTCATCTTTCCTCCCTCCTCTCACCCTGGCTTTTTCAATTAGTTGAGGGGTAACAGGTAAACGGAGCTCGGGCTGAGCACAGTCCAGCCCAGCAATCAGACATACGTACATTGAGTACATCTATCGCTTTGGTTTGGAAGATCGGTGGATCGCGACCGCGGGCAGGAGGCTGGACCCACCTGCTGCCAGCATTTGACACCGCACATTTTGCTCTGCAGACTGCTTCCCACACAGTGTTCGCACTCCGTTTCTTTGGCTGCGGTCCCGAGGGGGAGGAGGGAGAGGAGGAGGAGGAGGAGGAGGAGGAGGGTGGATGGGGAGAGAGGAGGGGGAGGAGGAGAAGGAGGAGGAGGAGGGGGAGGAGGAGGAGGAGGAGGAGGAGGAGGAGGAGGAGGAACACAAAAAAATAGATGCTCCGAGGCCCACGCGGCCTTCTCAGATCCGCGCCGGAGCCCCCCCCTGGTGGGCGCCCATGGTGGGCGCCCACGTGTGTCGCTCACGTGGTCGCAGCGTGCGCTGGCGGGCGTTTCCGGATGCAGGAGCAGCTTGCACCACGTAGGTTCTTTCGCCTAAAATCATAGAAAGTCTACCCCTCCCTGCCGAGGCTGGACTCCTCCGCTCCCTTCCGCGCACCGCGCTTCCATACTGCTTCTGCACGGCCGTTCTTTCCAGCTATCTGGGAGTTGCATTTGTACAGTGTCAGCCGACGCGCTATCGGCTCGCCCCCCCCGTGCCCATCGGGCAGCACCATGCGGTGCACGCGCGTTGATCCGACGAGTGCAGTCTGCCAGGGTACCCATCAAGCGATGCAGTGCGGGCCGCGTGCGCGCGCCCCTGCCCGCGCCGTCGGGACCAGTCGAGCTGAAGTCGCATGACAGTTTCAGCATCTGTCCTTCAAGATCTCTTCACACCGGTCGTTTTGTTTCAGTGACGAAGTGCCAGGATTCCGCGCGTGCGCTCTCTGAACTCATGAAGCGAGCAGCTGTTCGTGGCCGCCGAAAGAGACCATGTGGGTCACACGTGCGCGCATGCCGGACACATCTATCATCTATCGCGCACCCTCATCGCCAATTTTGTCACATAAGTCCATGCGGGCCACGCGCAAATCTCCGCGCTCGCACGTGTACGTCTTTACGCAAGCATGCGTGTTCTAAGCATGTCAGCACAAAACGGTTCAAATTCATGTGGAACATACGGCTTTTGGACACGCAAAAAGTCAGAATTTCGGAATTTCTGCGCGCGCAGTTCCTCATCATCCTCATCAGCACCATAATTATCATCATCGCCAGCGTCATCGTTGCCACCGTCATCACCGTCTTCATCACCATCACCATCGTTATCGTCATCATCCTTACCGTCGTTGTCAGCATTGTCGTCATTGTCATCGTCGTTGTTGTCGCCCTCCGTACCGTCGTCATCACCATCACCATTGCCACCATTCTCACCATCATCTTCATCACCATCACCATCATCGTCGTCATCGTCATCATCCCACCGTTGTCATCGTCATCGTCGTTGTTGTCGCCCTCATCATTAGCACCACCATCGTCACTGTTACAAGGTCGTCGCGCCATTACGCCAGTTTTTTATACCAAGTCTTTGCAACCAAACTGCGGGCGGGTGGGCGTGGTTGACACACGAGCAGCGGAGGTGGTCGTGCGTCGATGCCGATCAGGTGAGATACCCCTCTTGGAGTGCACCACATGTAAAAAGGATATAGACTCTACCACCCCCGGGATGCTCGGATCCCAATGAAACAATGAAGCACTGCAGCTGTCACATGATTCTGCCTCATCGTGCGTGGTGCATCTGAATTCATATCATCCCAGGCACTCCCCTCATGGACCCCCCGTGATCCCTGGCAGAGAATGGTATGCGCGCGCACTCGTTTTTTCAAGGTCCCCTTGCAAATCACTGCGCAAAGTCCAGGCGCGCGCACGTATCGCAGTCAGACCAACCACAGCAGTTTTGCAAGGATAACAAAGCACACCAAACACCCTTAGGTTTTCCATCGCAGAGCTGGCATCTGCTCTGCCCGCGCGCAGCTGCTGAACTCGTAGGAGCACCACAGGACGCCGCCTCCCGCAGCTATCTTGGCCCATGCGATCCTGCAGCAGGCCCGGCCCTGGGGGTCCCGCGGCCCTCGCTAGCTCGGCGCGGCTCTTCGAGCCCGCGGGAGTCCTGCCATGAGAGATGATTCCATCACCTCGTGCGGCTCGAGCCAGGAACTTCTCGGTGACGGCGCCAGGGGCGAGGGGCCCGAGGTGCCGCCCCCGCCGGACGCGACCGGGCTGCCCAGCAGGCCTCGCAGGTCGCGCGGCGAGCTGCTCAAGAGTGCAGAAGTCCCCGAGCACCAGAAGCAGCCGTACATCTTGTGCGGCTACAGACAGGCCCCCGCGGGGCCGTGCGGTCTCTTAGCGACCATGTTTATGCTGCACAACGAGACCGTCAACATGTGGACGCACCTATTCGGATCCCTCTATGCCGTTGGGATGGGCGTCCACCTGGTCAGCACTCTCGACTACGATGATCACGGGGCGATCGAGGCTGAGGCGCGGTGGGTTCTTGCGCTCGTGTTCACCACAGCCGTCTGCCTGCTTGCGTCGTTCGCGTATCATCTGTGCAATTGCACGGACCAGCGTGTCTGCCAGTGCATGCATAAGATGGACCAAACGGGCATCGTCTGCCTCATCATCATGAGCTACTTCAGCGGCATATCGTTGTTCTATCGTTGCTTCCCACGGCTTCGACTTTTCTATTTGTGTTTCGCAGGCTGCGTGGCCGCGGCGTTGGCAACGCCATTTGTTTTTCCAAGCTTGGTGAGCCATCTCCCCCGTCACTTGATGCAGAAGGCGCACGCCATTCCGCCGACCTCCAGGAGATGATGTGTCCGGCTTCCCGCTTCGTATGTGCTGCTTGCCGCCTCCCGCTGTGCTGCCTGCGTGTGCGTGTGGCCGAATTGCCCTCCCCTTCCGGCGCGTGGACTGCGAGGCTTCTCGGGGGCGTGCGGAAGGCCTCCAGGGCGGCCACGGTCCGTGGAGCCTTCTCGGGGCTCCTGTGAGCCTCTGGGGCCCTCCGGCAGCTTCTCGGGGGCCCCATTTGGCGGGTGCTGGCCCCGCGCCGTGGGGGAGGGCCCGAGCTCGCCCTCGTGGGCCCCTCCTGGGGCCCCTCCCGGCGGCCCTCCTTGCGGGCCTGCTTGGCGCTCTGTGCCCTCGCGGCTCTCCCTCGGACCGCCTCCGGGCCCTCCTCTGGGCCCCTCCGGGGGGCCGCGACGGGCCGGCCTCGCGGAGGGCCTCGCGGACCGCCCAGGGCCTGCAGAAGGCCCCCCCCCGAAAGGCGAGTTTTGTTTTGTCTGGAGGCCCTGGCGTGGGTTCCCTTGCGGCTCTCTCGGGGCGTCGTGGGGGCCTGGGCCGTCCTGAGGCCATCCCTGGAGCGTGCTGGGGCCCCTCCTCGAGCCACCGTCGAGGGAGGCCGCGGAGGGCGGATTTATGGAGGCGTCGTGGAGACCGCGGAGGGGCGCCGGTGAATTCTCGGGGGGCCCCGACCCCGCTCTGATGGGATTCTGGATCCCAGGGAAGGCAGAACGGGAGCGGGGGCCAGCCGAATGTCTCACACGCTTGACCACCCCCTGCAAGCGGGGGTCAACGGATCATGTGCTGCGCTGCTGGCGTCGTGCCCGCAGCGCACATCATGTGCATCGCCCCGAAACACGAACTGATGATGGCGCTGACCTACATCATCCCAATGATGGCTTGCTACGGCGCAGGCGCGAGTATATTCATCGCCCAGTGGCCAGAGTGTTGGTGGCCAGGGCGTTTCGACATCTTCGGTCACAGTCACCAGATTTGGCATATTCTCGTACTTGGCGCAGCGATCCTCTGGGTCCAGGGCAACGTGGTGGTGCTGACGAGCCTTGAATGTGATGCCCCTGACGTGGCTCCGGAGTCGCCACGATAATTAGCCATTATCCGCAGCCACGGCTCCTCCTCGTCCTCGTCCTTCTCCTCGTTTCTCATTCTCTCCCTCCTCTCGCCTCTTCTCGCCTGCCCCCGTATCCTTCTTCCTTTGCATCTCCCATTCCCCCTCGGGGTCAGGAGGCGGCCGGGGATCGGTCTTGAGACGTCTTAGGGTTGTCTTCGGCGGGTCCCGAGCCACATTGCGGCTGGCTTGGGATCCGTCTTGGGGTCCTGCGGGTTCGGTTCAGCATTTGCCCGTGGCTCTGAAAAGTGGCGTTCAGACTTGGCATCAGTCCGCTTGGTGGCTCCAGCCCTCGACTCTCCGAAAGAATAGCAAGGAAGCAAGTACCTTGTCGCGCGCCCGCCCCCGCAAGCCGCGGTGGCGGATGTGTGCGTACACACCCACTGAAACACACTTTTTTTGATCTGCGGCCCGCAAGGAAGAGTCCAGAGGGCGTGTCAATCGGGCTGACTGGGGCACAGAGCCAGACAATTTGCGATGCAAGCATGCTCGCAGCTGCACATGCACAGAACACCACTCAAACACACGCGCAAACACACTTTTTTTTTAGTTGCGACCGCGCAGCAGAGGGCAGGCGGCGAAAGGGGGTCCGGGGCACGGGCCAGCCTAATTAGCTACTATGCGCATGCGCAAACACACACGCAAGCCCGAGCCCGACAAATTCATGAAGCCCGCGGAGCGGGAGTCACTGCAGGGCCCCACGGGGGAATTCAGCAAGCACTTGCCCCAATCAGAGGATGTTCGGCGGTCTGGCCTCGACGCGCATGTGGCCGAACCGTTGGGGCCGCCTCTCTTAGGGGCCCTCTTGTGGCAATGTTGGCGTCCTGAGGGGTATCTTGGGGCCGTTCTGGATTGTCTTTGGACCGCCCGCCCTGCGAGTCTTGGGGCCGTCTTCGGGCGGGAAGCTGTACTTGGCAGTGTGGGGTGCGATCTCGCGGCTTCGCAGACCACGTTCGGGGCCATGCGGATTCCTGTCGGGCTGTCTTGTGGCGAGCGGGTGGATCTCTCGAGCCGTCTGGGGACCACATATGGACAGTTTTTTGGGCCGTCTTGGACGCGTCTGGTGGCCGACAGGCCGACGGGAGAGGGGTGGGGTCGGGAGTGGCCGGTGGCCCCATGGAGAGCTGTTTGGGATAACCGCTCCGTCCATATTAAGTGCACCTAGTTCCCTTCTGGATCAGGGACGGGAGAGGGGTGGGGTCGGGAGTGGCCGGTGGCCCCATGGAGAGCTTTTTGGGATAGCCGCTCCGTCCATATTCAGTGCACCTAGTTCCCTTGTGGATCAGGCCGCATCGTGCAGTAGATCCAGGGCGCCTGCGGCGAGTCGCTTCTCTCATCTCCTCCCTCCGCGCTTCTCTCACCTCCAAATCTTTCCTCTCAGCAGTCCGTTGTCTCCGATCCTGTTGGCCGCAGAGTTGGCAGCAGAGTTGGCCAAGCCAAGGTCTGCTCACGCTCTGGCAGAACCGCCGTGACTTTGCAGGCTGCAGTTGTATTCGATTTTATGTAGGTGCGCACGTTTGTTTGCAGGTGCGCGGTCACGTGTTCTTTCTTTCTCCCCCAACTTATCCTTGGCACCACCGTTTCAGCATTATTTGCCCTAGCGGTCGAACTCGTGGCTTGTCGCTTGCGTGGGGCAAAGCCGTGCCAGTTTTCCTTCGGTTCAGTAGAGAAGTCGAGAGTAGACAATTTCCTGAACCAGCTGTGCAAATGAGACACACATATATAGACCAGGTGTTATGAAGCTCCAGTAAAACATAACTGATCATACTGGCAAGTCCAGATGCCTGCAGCCAATCCAGCCACCGTGTCAGCGCAGCAACGAACTGCGCGCAGGCCAACGCATCCCTCCGCCTCCCTTCCTCCTCCTCTCCCTCCTCCTCCTCCTCCTCCCTCGAGCTCCTCCCACTGCCTCAACAATTACTCAATACCAGGTCTGTTATGAGACCCGTCGGCGGATAGAGAAACAACACATTGCGATGGGAAGCGATGGGTGGTAGGGGCACTCTGTCCGATATTGTGCGGGCTTACCTAGCTTAATATTTATACTACTCTCCTCTCTCCCTCGACGATGGCCGTGGAGAAGCCACTCCGCGTATTGTTCTGTGCACCGGGCTTATTGTGATTAGGTCTTTCCTTTGATTGTTCTCCAATGGGAACTTCTTCGGTGTCTCAAGATGGTGCTGCCGCTTGAGCGTTGGCCTCACTTTAAGATCGGCGCTTTGCGCCCGTCGTCCAGAATGGCTCTCTCGACCCAGCGCGGGCCACTCTTCGGGATCCGAGTCCCTCCCCCCCCTCCTGTCCCATCCTCCGCCTTCCCCTGCAGGCACACGGGGTCAGGGTCCCTGCCGACCCTCTCTCTTCCCCCCCACCCTCTTCTTGTTTTTCTTATTGTCCTTTTATGATGTTTCTACTTACTACTATCTTTACCATTATTGTTCTTATCATTGCTCTTCTGGTTATTATTATTTTTCTTATTGTTCTTATTATTGTTCCTCTTCTTCCTCCTCCTCTTCCCACCACATTGTGGGAACCCGCGAATTCCAGCGAGTCCCTGCTTCTCCCGCTCCTTCTTTTCCAGTTCCCGCTGCTGCTTTACGTCATCTCCTTACTCCTCCTCCCCCCCTCCTTACTCCTCCTCCTCCCCCTCCTTACTCCTCCTCCTCCTAGCCGCCGCCCCGGTTCGAGGCTTTGGGAGTCCCTTACCAGGTAAGGGACGAGCCTTGCGGGTCGGCCGCCATACGTGCCAGCCAGGCGGGCAGTCGGGTGCCCACCCCTGGCAGGCCGTGCCGCCGCCGACGACTGGCCAGCGCCACGGCTCGTCGGCACCTCCGAGAACCAGCTTGGCATCGGCGTGCTCGAGAGCGCCGCAGCCAGGCCCGCACAGTTTTGCGCTTAGCGGCAGCCAGGCAGACGCTGATTTCTCATCACAGCAGTCATCGGATGTCGTCGGCGCCATGGCATACACGCAAAGGGCAGTGGTTCTGCTCGTTTTGTGGTTCCTCGCATCCTGCGTCTACGGCCTGGTGCACCAAGTGCTACGCCAAGGGTCAAGGATCGAGACGCAGAGGCCGCTCTACTTCGCGCGCCCCCTTTCGCTCCAGCCAGGGCGAGTCGACCCCCGCCGCCGCCGCTGGCTCGAGCGAGGAGAAGAAGCTCAACACACAGATGAAGAAGAGAGTGGCCAACTTAGCGGAGGCCAGAGCTCACCCTGCGTGGGTAGAGCCGCCAGCGCTGTCAGTGGACAGAGAAGCTCATCGTACCCACATGAAGTCAGCCATGCAGGCGCTGGAGCAACAAATCCAGGCCCAAGAAGCTATCACGACGGTGCCGTCGCCGATGCTCGAGGCCAAGCGCCAGGAGTTTGCAGTGTTCCAGTTCCTGCATCTGTACGCGTTCCTGCCGAAGGAGAGAGTCTCCAACCAGACCAACTTCCTCAGCCGCGTGACCCGCAGGTTCGAAGAAGCACAAGAGGCCGAGAGGGCAGCGGAGATTGCTCTCACCACCGCGCAAAGGGCGCGGGAAGCCCTAGCCACGGAGGTCACCCAGGCGCAGGAGCTTCTGACGACGTTCGAGGAGCTTGCCAGGGAGGAGATCAAGACGGTGACGTTCGAGGAGTCCCCGCACATGACGGCCACGCAGGCAGCGTCGCCGCCTTCGATGCCGCCTTCTGGTCAAGCTGCGCCACAGGTCATCGCAGAGCTGCGGGCGGGCCAGGTCACGTTGACTTCGTCCCTCTCGGCCCTGCAGCACACTATGGTCTCGCTGCAGCAGTCGCTCAGTCAGCTCGTCATCCAGCAGCAGTCGTCACCTTCCCCATCCGTGGCACCACCTTCGGGTCCAGCACAGCCTGCGACTCCATCGGCAGCCACAATGGTTCCAGTTTCACACATCGGCAATGGTGGAGTGATCCGCCCCATCACGGGCAAGGTTTCGCAGGCGCGCAACCTGCCCGAGAAGGCTGCCCGCCAGCCGGGTCAGCAGAAGCTACGCCTACCATCGAAGCCCAGCGGGCCTCAGGACGGGCAGATCGAGGAGGAGATGGGCGGCGAGCCGCCCCACAAGAGCCAGTGCCTGGCGTTCGACGCCGAGGAGGAGATGGACACCCCCAGGATGCAGGACGCCCACGAGGCCGAGGGCGACGTGTTGGAGACCTCCTTCGAGGCAGCAGCAGCACCAGCGAGTTTTCGCTGACCCGAGCATCTTGTACGCATGGAGGTCAGTCTGAAGGTCCGTCGGGATCTCACAACACCTCCCAGCCTCCTGTTGATCAGTCAGGATGTTCGGGCAATACTTTGCAGTCTGAGTGGAGTAGTGGTATGCCACCCTGCTCCTCAACCACGGCCCCTTGGGTTCGAGGTTGTCGGTTCAGTCCAATGCCAAACGCTACCTGGGGTTCTCAATGTTTATTTTCTCGCCGGGAACGTCCTCTCAACAAGGCTTATTGGGCCCTTGCCAAATACTGGCACTCCGCTACCATCAATGCCCTCCCCCATCTCCTGGATGTTTCATGTCTGGGGGGCGTCACTACTGTCCACATCTATACGGACGGTTCGGGAGGCTCCACTAAGGGTGGGCCCTCATGGGCCTTCGCGGTCTTCTTGGAGGACTCCTTTGGGAACATGGCCTTCTTGGGCTTCGAGGGCGACTACGTGGGCGCTGAGGTGTCTACAGTAATGGGGTCTCTTGCTGCTGAACTGCAAGGTGCTCAGTGGGCCCTCGCGTGGTTCCTACAGCCCGGCTACGCCAGCCTAGCCCACGCATGTTCTCTTACTGTCCATTGCGACAACAAGGGGGCCCTACGAGTTGCTCGGGGAGGGGCCTTGGGAAGGACGTTGTCTCATATGCGTGTGGAGTTAGACAGCATAGCTAAAGTGACCTCGCATTTCGTTCGTAATCTTTGTCGGGGGCGCGTGCGGGGTCATTCCAGCCATGCTTGGAACGAAATGGTCGATGCGATTGCCACGCTGGTTTCTCTTGGTAGTCTACCTCGCCCAGGTCGTCGATGGCGCGCTTGCCTCAGTGACCTTCAGGCGCTGCAGTGGCTGTGGCTTCGCTTCGAGCCGCTCAGGATCCAGCAGCAGTATCCACCTACGGGTGACGAGTGCATGCCAGCTTTTGTAGAGACAGCCACGGACAAGGCCTCCGCCTTGTTTCATCTTCTGCGTTTCTCGGCTCGGGATCGTTCTGAAGCTGCGTTTCGAGAGAGCGCGGGCGCGCCGTCCCCCACCGCAGCTTATTCTCGGCAGATGTGGGTTGCAGCAGCCAACGTGTTGTCTCTTAGCCCAAGCAACAGCAGGCATCGCTCTCATGCTCGCCCGTCTGGCCTCTACCTTTCAGGACGCATGAAATAACTCAGCGCGGCTTTTTAAGCAGCAGTCACTATGTGCTGTGGGCGCAGTTGAGACACGCTTCCCTCGCTCTTGAGTTTCTAGCGCGCACCCGTATCACATCGTGCATGCCGAGGCCGACAGCGAGCACGCAGGTGGGTGTTCTCTTTGGATGCACACTGCCTTTGAGATCATGCCTGGGGTCCGCATTGCTCCCAAACATTGTTGTGTTCTTGCAGCTGCCCCTCGCTGCATTCTAGTCGCCGTTCGCGTGGAGTCGTTCGCTATGGGCGTTCTCGTTGCGCGCGCACCTCGCAGCAAGAAACCAGAGCACGAGATACGGGCCTGGTGGGCCCATCTAGCGGGAGTTCTTCACGACCACCGCGCCCCAGGAGTCGAGCTGGTTTCACTACTGGACGCCAGCGGCAGGATCGGTTCGTCTCTGTCCAGGTTCGTCGGCCCTATTGCGGCCGAGGCGCAGAACCTGCCAGGCCAGTGCTTTCACCAGTTCTTGGAGGATTCAGAGCAATGGGTGCCCTCTACGTTCTTGGAGTCTCATGTGCCGTCGGCCACTTGGTACCCTCCGAGATCCCATGGGCTTGTGTCTGGGCGGCGTACCGACTACGTTACTTGCTCGTTCGGCGTGTCGGTTACCTCGCAGCATGTCGTCACGGACGTCGGGTTGACCATTTCTATTGTGGATCATCTCATGGTTGCCGCGCTAGTATCGTTACCTGCTGCACGCCCCGCCTTGCGAGCATCGGGAGAGCGCGAGATCAGGTGCGACCCCGCCGGCTTCAGAGATCCTGCTGCCGCAGCGCGTTTCAACAAATTACTTCTACAATGTCCTGCTGTGCCGTGTACAGTCTCGCCATCTTCCCACTGCCAGGTGCTCAATGACCACCTTCGTTAGAGTTTAGAAAAAGCTTTTCCTGCGAGGACGTCCTCTTCAGGACGCAGCCCGAGACAACCCGGGGATTCCACCGAGACCCTGAAAATGATCGACGCGCGCACATCCCAATTACGCAGCTACCGACGTATTGGATTTGCGTGCTTGAATTTGCAGCTGGCTTTGGTGTTTCACGTCTGGGCCGAAACGTTGAGGGGTCCTTGGGCCTGCTTACGCACCATGCAGTGGAAGTTGTCAGAGCGCGAACCAGGCACCCTCAGTTTTCGCTGGCAGCATCGCCACGCACATCTGGTGGCTATCTTCAGGCCAGCTTTGCTAGAGCTTGGTTGTTACATTGACGACCAGTCGCTTCTTAACAGTGCACACAAGGCGCGCAGGAAACGTTTTTGCAAGCCGTCTACGGACTACCTCACCTACTTTCGTCTGTGGGGACGTCTTTGGGGTTCTCGTGCTGATCACCTACAGGCAGGTCGATGCACCTTGGAGGACATGCATTGGGTGCTCCTTGGTTTCTCTGGGCAGTCTGGGTTTAAGGCGTGTTGGAACTACTCGGTTCGCATGGTGGGCCTCTGTTTAGCGGCCCGCGTCATCGCCCTCGAGGTCATGACTCGCTTCGTCACGCATCGCATTAACCTAGATGCTCGTGCGCACGCTCCTACACTCGCTCAAGGTGTTTCCTCGGCTTGGTCTCGGCAGGATTTCAAGGAGGCGTTCTCGAAACTCAAGGCCATGGGAGCCTGCTCTCGTCGCAAACGTTCGGTTCGTCCTCTTCCTACCCTTCTCGGTGTCGACGGCAAACCGCTCGCGTCGTTCGTCGAGGTTGCGAATCGCTGGCTTCAGCACTTTAGCAACGAGGAGGCCGCGCCTGTCATACCGGAGTCCGACCTACTTTGGTTCCTGGCCTCTCATCCCACCCTCGACGCGTCGGTGACGCACAATGTGGATATTAACATAGAGGATGTGCCGTCCTTCGCAGTCACTCAGCACACGTTTTCCAGAGCCAAAGCCTCGGCGGCAGGGCCCGGCGGCATCCCAGGCGCAGTATTGAAGCAGCTTGCGATTTTACTGGGCAGCTATTTCCATCTTTTGTACGTTAAGAGCACGGTGCGCATTTGTGAGCCGATTCAATGGAAGGGTGTTTTTTTTACTGGAGTCTCTTCAAAGCCGGGGTTCCCTCGAACGTAAAAAATGATCGGTCCATCCTGGGCTCCTCCCAAGTTGGCAAACGCTTTCGCGCTCTTACGCGTGCCAGTGCTGTACCGTTCCTCACGGAAGCTGTGGGAGTCAGACAGTTCGGAGGTATGCCATGTCGAGGCACTCAGTTTTCAGCTTTGGAGTTTCGGGTATTTCAGGTATTTCAGCAGAGAGCCGAGGCCGAAAACAAATCAGTCATGATGCTTTTCACCGATGCGGTGCAGGCTTTCTACAAATCGGTTCGTGAGCTGGTTTTTCGTGCCTCCGCTAGCGACGAGGCAGTGGCAGCCCTGCTGAAGTTCTGTGGTCTCCCAGCGGAGGCTACTCATGAGCTGGCCGAATATGTTAAGCACAGTATCCCGATCCTGGAGCAGTGTCGCGTTTCCGCACTTCGTCGGGGGTTGTTCTCGGATTCGTATGAACAGTCTTGGTTCTACATTCGGGACGGTGGCGGTGTGGCGTTTCCATCCATGGGCTCAGGACCAGGTCAGCAGCTGGGGGACGTCGTCTTCAATTTCGTTATGTCCAAAATCATGGCCACTGCTCAGGTGGGTCTCCCCGAACTGGGGGTAGGTCGACATATTCCGTGTCACCTCTCGTCCTCGCTCGCAGTATACCGTGCTCAAGGAGCACATGCGGAAGCTCCAGTGCACCAGTGCCACGTCTTGGACGGCGCCTTTTTCGATGATGCGTTATTCTGTTTCGCTGGTCGCGCAAGTGATCTCTTATTTCAAGCGCCGTTTGTTGCAGCAGTGGTCATTGAGGCCTTTACGTCCCTTGGTCTCCAGATCAATACTAAGCCATGTAAGTCAGCCTTAATGTTTCAGTTCAGAGGTCCGACGTCTAAGATTGCCAAACGTGTTGTAGTACACGAGCAACATACCATTATTAATACTCATACACACACATTGGGTGATGTTGAACTTCATCGGGTTCAAGAGTATGTTCATCTTGGGACAACACATGACAAGTCGGCCTCAATGGGGCCTGAACTGGCACACAGGCTCCACAGTTGCTCCCAGGCCTGAAAGGTTCTCAAGTCCAAGGTGCTCAAACACAAGGCCATTGACAAGCACGTGGCCCTCGCATTCTTGGATTCCCTGGTATGCTCTGGGAGGCTCTTTCAGGCCAGTACTTGGGGATTCCTATCGTCCGCGCAGTATCGACACCTGCAGGGCGGCTTGACGTCGTATTATAGAGTTATCGCCAAGCTCCCGAGGACGGACGACTCAGCTGTTTCCCATGACTGTGTGCTCGCGCAAGTGTGTCGACCACTTTTGCAGGCCCTCCTTTCTGCTCGTCGACTTCGCTTGTTCGGTCGTCTACTTCGGACAGGGCCTCCTCACATTCTGGCTCTTGTTCATGATGCCATGCGTCTCTCGTCGAGGACCTGGGGCCAGATGATTATGGAGGGTCTTCGCTGGTTGCAGTTATACTCCCTTCGTTTCCAGGGCTTCGCCGGCCCGGAAGCCGACGTGTCGATCTGGGAGCTCGAAGCTACGAAATCCCCGTCGTCGTGGAAGCAAACCATCAAGCAGGCCCTCGGATCCCATGTTAGGCACTTGCAAAGGGACACGCTTGCTAGAAGTGCAGGGGCGCACCTACTCAGCGTTCTCGAGTCTGCAGGCGCGCCGCCAGCATGGGGCGATCCTCGCCGCCGTTTACTCGCGCAGGAGCAAGCGGATGCCAAAATACATTGTTGTATGTGGTGCTCTATGAGGTTTGCTCGTATTCGTGGGCTAAGGGCCCACATTCAACGCACTCGCAATTCCAGTGTCGATTTCATTCGGAATTGCCAAGGGCCAGAACTTCATTGTCGGTCATGTTTCCAGCGGTTTGCTCATCGGTCGGCGCTTACAGCACACTTGGCATTCGACTCTCCGCGGTGCGCAGTAGGCCTGATCATTGCGGAGCCTCGCTGCACGGTGGCTGAAGCTCAGCAACTGCAGCAGGCAGAATACGAACGCCTCCGAGCACAGCGCGCAGCAGGCCAGGGCCGCTGGCGCACGGAGGTACCCGCTACCAAGCTAGTCGGTTCGACTCGGCACCAACTTATTCGAGATATTTCCTGGCCCCTCTCCCAACGTGACGCTCTTCGCGTCCTACTCGAGACCGACCCCGCCATCCCCAACGACAAGATTGACCAGTACCTACAGCTATTCTCGGACGAACCTCCCCCCGAGGACCCTTCCCTAGAGGTCCCGCTCTACGTGTGCAACCCTGGTGAATTCTCGGGAATCTCCACTACTTCGGTGCCGATTCGAATTCGCCGACCTACCCTGTGCGCGTTGAGCCTTTACTGCGGACGCAGGAGACAGGGCGACGTGCAGTGGCATGTTGAGTGTACTTGCACGCAGCCGCCCATTGAATTGATTGTACTCAGCGTGGACTTTGCCATTGACGCAGTGCGAGGAGACCTCGCAAGCGAGAGCGCGTTATTGGAATGGATTGAACACATCAGATGCCACCGAGTGGTCAACATGGGGGGGGGGGGGGGCTAGTGAGACTTGGTCTGCCTCCAGGTGGCATGAGGGAGCCCCCCCCACTCAGGTCCTCTGACTACGCGTGGGGTATGCCGTGGGTGTCTTGGCGCCAATCGTAGCAACTTCGAGTGGGGTCTCAGCTTTTACATTCTCTGGTTCGGCTTCTTGCAGAACATCTGAGGGCTGGCACGGGGGGGTGGCTTGAACACCCTTCCCTGCCACAGGGGCCCCTAGGGCCCCTTCTAGTTTCAGATGGCGGCCCATGGAGGCCATAGCAGCAGCGCCCTGTGCACGTGTTACGTCTTTCGATCAATGTGAACACCAGGATCCACGTGTTGATCCTAGCACTGTGGGCCAGCGCCCACGACCATTTTGTCGATTCGAATGGGGGCCCAGCCAGATCTCCTCAAGGCCACTCCAGGTTCTGGTAGGTGCTCTCACGGGCGCCAGGCCCATCGCACGCTTTTAGGCAAGAGTTCTACAGGCCAGTTCCATACGGCTTCTAAGAAGACCTACCCATCCAGTTCGTGCCTTGCCTTAGCCACGGCTATCGTGGATAGCATCAGCGTAGTTCTCCCCCCGTCCTCGCAGCCTCCCTCCTCCTCCGACGAAGAAGTATGCGACGTGGCGGAGTATCCGCCCGATTTGCAAGAAGTTCGAGAGTCCCTATGCGAATTTTTCGTTTCCTGGGACCGTGAGGCTCAGCAAAGTTTCGAGCCAGCCCCTGATTTTGCAGGGGTCAACAAGAGATCACGGCCCAAGGCCCAGCACGAGAGTTTCCGTTTTCACGACTCCGACTCAGATGAAGCCGAGGAGACTGCTGCTGAAGTTGTTCGGCCCACTTCAGACCCTGTGCTGCCCCCCTCGGAGTTTCCCGAGGATGCCGAGGCGGAGCAAAAGGTGGCTGATCAGCTCCTAGGTTCACAGGAAGAGCAGGCGGCGGACTGGTTGTTGTCTCCCCCCTCCCCCGCCTTGCCTCCGCCTCCCCCGCCTGCTCCCCTCCCTTTTTCCTCCCAACAACTGGACCGCATTGCCGCCAACCGAGCCCTGGCTCGGGCCAGGCGAGAGGAGCGTCGCCTGGCCGAGCGACTTGCACGAGTTTTGTCTCCCCCACCCCTTTCCTGCTTCGCTGATCCGCGCAGCACCGCGCAGATCGAGCAGGACCAGGCACACACGCGTGCTCAGCTCAATGCGTGGTACAGCATGCTGAGCTAAGGTGGTGGGTGGAAGGTTTGTTTTTAGCGCCCATTGTCACATATCTGTGTCGTTGGCCGGTGGACGAGTGCGGCAGTGACCGATACCGACGTGGAGCGAGCGAGCCTCCTCCTCCTCCTCCTCCTCTTCCCCGCGGCGGCGGGATCTCCCGAAGTCCGACGGGAGGCCCGCCGCCTTTGCGCGCCGCGCTGCGAACGCCCGCCGCGCCCGCCGCGCCCGCCGCGGCGACGCCCCCGCGGGGGGGCGGGCGGTGGGGGCGAGGAGGAGGAGGAGGAGGAGGAGGAGGAGGAGGAGGAGGAGGACGAGGAGGAGGAGGAGGAGGAGGAGGACGAGGAGGAGGAGGAGGGAGAAGGGGGAGACGACATGTTGTGGTCGTAGTGCGTGGTCCCAGTGGTCGCGGTCGTCGTGCGCGGTGAGTTGCGCCCTGCGTTGTAGTCGTCGAGTCGTCGCCGGTTTCAGGCCCAGGAGTTTGAGCCACCAGACCCCTACGTTAGGCGCGCTGGCTGTCGACTAGGAGTAAGAGTGGCCTTTCGCGGGAGTGACCTTTGGTGCGGGCACAGATGGGCCTCCAGATGGCTGAAACCGAAGCAGGGGCAACGGCTTGCGCGCCCAGGTGTGGTCCCCACGCGGCCCCAAAAAACCGCGCACCAAAGGTCACTCTTACCCAGGGTCGCTCCTGCGTGTAGCCGAGTGTGCTGAGTGCCTCCTTGCGCCCAGGCCCCTCTGGCACTTGCTGCGCAAACCATGTTCGCGTGGACTCGCCCATGCCTCCCGAGACTTCAAACCAGACGGGCTGGAAGCTGGCGACGCAATCGTACTTGCGGCGCTTGGCATGTTCGGCAAGTCTGGCGGCGGTGCCTTGGACGTGAGCCCCCCAGCCTGTAGGCTCCATTGCGAGCCTGGATGCACGACCGCTGGGTCAGGATAGGCCCGCTGGCCGTCATTGTCGGTGCACCGGAGGTTCGCGCGGAGACCTGCATTGCCCGGTCCTTTGGGTGGGCGGAGCCAGGGTTTCACGTAAGGCTCGCGCGATAGTGCCGCGTAACCATGAAGCCGCCATATGAGCAGCAGAGCGTGTGGCGTCCGTAAGTGCCGGCGGTGCCACTGCAGTGGGTTCCGTCTTCCTTCTTGAAGCGGCAGGGGCCGTCAGCTGCACGTACCATGCCTCCGAGTCTGCATTTCGCGGCCATACCGATGGGGTCGTCGGCGAGGTGGCGGTCCGGCCGCGTCGGCGGCCCGAGCCACGCGCCTGCCCCCTCTGTCTGTCGTGCCAATAGCACCCACGCCCGAGGGTGCGTCGTAGCCGCTGTATCCACTCTGCGTGCCGCTTGTGCCTGGTAAAGCGCCGTTGGGTAGTGTCGGGTGGTTCCGTATCGGGCGCCTGTTGCGCAGCCTCTTCCTGCGTCAGTGCGTTGGCAGTGTTCCGGAGGTGGTGTAGCGCTGGTCGCAGGCCGGGGCAGCCTCTCGCAGAGTACCCACGAGGCCGCCTGAGCATCCAGCCGCACCGCGCTCACACTCTGGAAGCCCAAGCCGCCCAAAGCGACAGGGTACCAGTATTTCTCTTTCTGCTCTGATGTGAGGTCGTGCGTTTGCACAAGCTGCTCCAGGGTGCTGAGGAGGTCGGCGTCGAGCTGGGTCGCTGTTTGGACCCCATTGGTCCACATGTGCCACGTTATGTCTCCTGCAGTGAGTGTGCGTAACAGTACCAGAGACGTCTGCACGTCTAGGCCAGCTTTGTGAAAGTCCAAAAGTCTTGCCATGGCATTCGTCCTTTCTGTTTGTTGGTGTTGTAGTCGCGGCGAGGCGGGTGAGTGCAAGCTGCCCTCCTCGGCTTGCTGGTCGGCGGTTGCCGGCGTCGGTGACAGGCCGGAGCAATCGTCGGCGAGCTGTCGTAGGTCCGGCCCCCTCCCTTCCCCCTGGATCCCTTCCCTCCTCCCCCATCTCTCTCCCTTCGAGCTCCCCCTGCCCTTCGCGCTCTTTCCCTTCCCCCCTCCCTGCCGTTCCCTCACTCCCCCCTCTCGCCCCCCCACTTATGCCCCCTGCCGAGCCTCCCCGGGCCGCGGGCCCCCTTCACGGCCGAGGCCCGGCCGCCGCCGTGGCCGCCGCCGCGGAGGCCCCGCTGCCAGGGTCGCCTTCCAGCGCCGGCGCCCGGCGCCGCCCCTGCCCTGGAGAGCGGGCGAGGGGGGGCAGCGGCGGCACGGGATGGGGCAGGAGAGGCGAGCGGCAGGACGAGTTTTGCATCCGGTCGCTCTCAGGTGGGAGCAGGGGAGGAGGTCGGGTCGGGCGAAAGGGGGGGGGGATTGGGAAAGAGGGGGTTACGAAATCTGCTGCATTCAGCTGGTTTCGGTCTCGCCGAGGGGCCCATTCCTCGATACATGGCCGCCTCCGGCGCCGGGAGGCGCCGGGAAAATCAGCTACGTGAGCCGATTCTCAAACCCCCCCTTTGCTATCCCCCCCCTTTGGCCCGACCCGAGAAGGGTGGGGCCACACCTGCCTCCCAGGCGGTCCGCGCCTCGGTCCTGCGTGGGATGCCTCGACCCTCGCACTGGCGCCTGGGAGGAGGCCCTTCTCTCACATCCTGTTGGCGTTTTTTTTTTTTTTTTTTTTTTTGTTTTTTTCTCTCAGAGGGCTGCAGACACTCCCGGGCCAGCAGCACGGTAGACCTGACCACCCCGAGGGCCCCACGTGGCGTGCCCTCCCAGCAAGCAGCGCGATCGAACAGACGCGCGGCGTGGAGGGGACGTGGACGGCTGGCGCTCGATCTGCGGAGGAGCAGGGCCGCGGGCGGATGCGGCAGCACCGGGGGCCGATCGGGCAGCACGGCATCGAGAGCCGCTCCTGGACGCGATTCCGAGTGGGCTTGCTCGAGGTCCGAGGCGCTGAAGTGTTGGGAGGCCCAGGTCAGGCCTGCTTCTCGAACGCCTTCGAGCGGCCGAGCCCGCTCTCTCCGCCCCCTTTTCATCGTGGCTCGCGCAAGCGACGAGGGATGGCTGCGAGGCGGACTGGAACTTGCTTGGCGGTGGCGTCTACAGCAAGGACGTCGCCCGCTGGGAGGCCTCCCGCCTGGCAGTCCTGCCGTCCTCCTGGATGGTGAGCCGAAGAAGGTCATGGAGTCTCGACGAGCGACTCCTTTTCTCGTCCGCATGGATATCGAACTTCATTTTGGCAATGTGTCCGATCCGAGGCCAGAGGCTGAGCCTGAGGGCGTGCCACAAATCCTAGGTGGACGTAGGCTGGAATCCAGACTGAATTCTGCCCCATCCGCCCACAACATAGCCACTGTCCACGGGGAAAGTGAGCTCGCCTGAAACTTGAGAGACAAACAGTTCAGGACAGCGTGCAACTCGGCCCTATTCGTCTGGCACCGACCAGCAGGGGGGGTACCTCGTCGTAGGGAGACTTCGGCGTGGGGCAACCCAGGGTTAACCTCGACCCACGCCCAGGCACAGCACCGAAACCCGGGGTCCTCTGCATGTGCACCCCCCGATCCGTCGGCAGCACATAAGCGACGCATCACCTCAGACGGCACACAGCCCGCGCTTGGCAGGGCCGGGGCCTTCCCCGTTGGGTGTGTCACGAGCGGCGGTGGCACCGGGAGGGGCAGGGACGTGCACGAGGGAAGCGGGGATGAACCCTCGAAGCCAAACGCACGGTTAGCATTCGCTGTCAGGGCAGTCTTGGATGCCCCTGCAGTATCCAAGGGGGGGGGTCAACGCACTGCCAAAGTGTTCGCTGCGAGGGCGTTGCCAGGCGCGGCGCCTGGGGGGTTCTCGGTCCCACCGCACCTCGGTCTAGCGGGGGTCATGTAGCCCCCGACCACGTGTTCGGCTCCTCCGTCTGGCTCCTGGGCTCCTCGAGCCGGCGGCGCAAGATCTTGGGATCGATTTCTTCTTCTTCCGGCCCCCCTTCCCGAGGCATCGGGCGGACGCGCCTGTCCACAGCTGCCCCACGACGAAGGCGTGGACGGCGGCCAGCACGTGGGAAGGGTCAAAGACGTCAAGAAAGGAGCGGAGAGCGAGCGGGGGCCTCTCGGCGTTCTCCAAACAGATCGCGCCACTCGAGGAGCCTTGGCGCGTGCCATCCAAGGCCGATGAGAGAGCTGATGACAGCAGAGGTGGAACCTCGGATGAGGGACGACCTGCGAGGGGCGGGGATCTGCACGGTGCGTGGGCAACAGCGCTCCCAGGATTGCCGAGGTGGCAGGCGGAGGGCGCACCAGAACGGCGAGGAGGAAGGATGAGGATGAGGATGAGGGTGAGGATGCGGGTGAGGATCGGGAGAACGATGACGAGGATGTTGACGAGGAGGAGAAGGAGAAGGAGAAGGAATAACTCAGGAGGGGGAGGAGGAGGAGGAGGAGGGGCGGCTTATCGCCGAACTCATGGAAGATCTGTCTGCCAGGAATTCTCCCGAGGTGTCTAGGATGCAGCGGCCCCGTCGGGCCAAACACGGGGGGGGGGCGTCGCCTGGTGTGTTCGCAGCGGTGCGTTGGTGAGCCCTCGAACTCGCCAGTACCTCCTCCAGGGAAGCCACAAGGCTCCGCGTACCCGCCGCGCGCAGGGATCTCTCATGATGTGGAAGAGCGGGATCGGCCCGAGTACTACGGGGTGCTCCTGCCGATCCGTCCCGCTCGTCTGGAAGGGCGCTTGCTGGGTGCCCACGGAGGCGGCGCAGCCTGCCGGATACTCTCTGTCAGCCCTTCCCCCAAGCGCTGGCTCTCGCCCCTTTTATTGCGGGCTCTACCAGCAAGAACCAGCGGCATCGGGGCCAACGGAAGAGTGATTCCGGACGCTCCCCTCGCCATGTTTTCCTTCCGTGCCACTTTTCTCCAAGCAAGGGCTGACAGGGCCAGCGCGGAGCGAGACCCCTCCGCAGCTGCATGTGCCCAGTGGTAAAAAAAGGCCCGTCGCGCGCGCGCCCTCCCTTCACCCGGATCGGGCGCTCCCGTTTGATCACGTCACACACCTCCCCTCGCACATTTGCTCACTGGACCTAATTCA